CAGGCACGCCTCGCAATCACAGACATGCCCCGCCCTCACAGGCACGCCTCGCAATCACAGACATGCCCCACACTCACAGGCACATCTCATAATCACAGACATGCCCCGCCCTCACAGGCACTCCCCACCCTCTCAGACATGCCCCGCCCTCACAGACATGCCCTCACAGGCACGGCTCGCAATCACAGACACGCCTCGCAACCACAGACATGCCCCGCCATCAGAGACACGCCCTCACAGGCACGCCTCGCAATCACAGACATGCCCCGCCCTCACAGGCACACCCCGCCCTCACAATCACAGGCACTCCCCGCCCTCACAGGCATGCCTCGCAATCACAGGCACGCCTCGCAATCACAGGCACTCCCCACCCTCACAGGCACGCCTCGCAATCACAGACATGCCCCGCCCTCACAGACACGCCCTCACAGGCACTCCCCGCCCTCACAGGCATGCCTCGCAATCACAGACTTGCCCTCACAGGCACTCCCCACCCTCACAGGCACGCCTCGCAATCACAGACATGCCCTGCCCTCACAGGCACGCCCCGCTCTCACAGACATGTGGTGTCTGATCCTGGACACACACAGGGCAGACAGATACTTGCACACAATCTCTATGCATTGTGACATGAGCAGGCATATCTTCATAAACACACACACGTATTCCCCACCCCTCCCGGGCACGTAGACATTATGACCCTATAATGCATGCTTTCTCTTGCTCTCTCTCATGTTTCACACTCATACATTAACAAGCAGAATGCATAAGAAAAAAGCTGAAAACTATTAATCCCAAGGAGACTTTTAGCCAACATGCTGATCCTTGCCTCGAGGAGTTAACTGAAAATCTCTTGGAAGCCTTCCAAGTGTGGAGCTGCTTGACATGTGAACACTCAGCGGATCACATTACTGAGCTCCAGAGACCTGGCTGATATTTTGCCAAGTTCGAATGTAGAACCTCAGGCACTGGTTCTTCGTTGGGCCCACATGGCCTATAAAACAAGCTCTCAGCATTTCAAACAGCCCTCTCTGATAATCAGTTTCAGCTTTAAATCATTGGCTGCACTGTCAAACCCTGTTCTCTTAAAGGCAGTGCAGGGTTCGATTTCCAAAGTCACTGTAACACTCCACTGTTTTCACAATGAGGAAAACCACCTCACTACTGGGCCACTGCACCTGCTCTGAGAATGAGGGATAGGATCAGCCTCATCTCCTGCCTCCCACCACGGGGAATGGGTGCACTTATCATATACATTCAAGGGTAATACATTCAAGATCCAGGAGTGTCTTGTCAGGCTTGATATGGAGCAGATGTCTTTTCCTATAAGAGTCACCAATGAGGGATCACTAGATGGCCTATTGGTATTATCACTAGACTCTTAATCCAGATTCGACAGGTTTTTTTCTGGGGTTCTGGATTCAATCCTCACCATGGCTGGTGGTGGAATTCAGTTTAAAAACCTGGAATTACAAGTCTAATGACAATTATGAATCCCACTGTCAATTGTTGGAAAAACCTATCTGGTTCACCAATGTCCTTTAGGGAAGGAAGCTGCTATCCTTACCTGGTCTGGCCTACACGTGACTCCAGACCCACAGTAATGTAGCTGATTCTTAACTTCCCCCTGGGCAATAATTCGGGATGGTTAGTAACTGCTGGCCTAGCTAGTGATGCCCACATCCCATGAATCAATTACATGAACCAGGCTCATGTTTTTCCCTCAGAGTCTTTGGAACTCTCTTTTTAAAAATGGTGTTGGATGCAGAATCCTTGGAAATTTTCAAGTCAGATAGTTTTTTTTGTGAAGTGAGGGGGATGCAAGGTTATCAGGGGTAGATGGGAGTATGGAGGTTTGAGGTTACTGTCAAATCAGCCACGATCTTATGAAATGGTGGAGAGGATTGAGGGGCTGAATGACCTATTCCTACCATTTTGTGTATGCTGATATGTAACACCTTCCCCTTGGCCACGTCCAAAGCCGATATTGTAGTGATGGGCTTGGCCATTGCTCTCGGTCAGTTGTACCCAGCGGGATACGGGAGATTAGAATCATTGTGACTTGGTTTGAAGGGAATGCATGCCCAAGGTGGAGCTCCTACCCCATGACTGGGGAGACATTACAGTGTGGTAACTGGATGTAAACTCTGAACTCTGCACACAGATTTACTGCATCCACCATTTACTCACAGGGTCCATTCACAGACAGAGGACTGGTAAACATAACTCCTAGCCCTGCACAAATTGAAAACGGTGCACGCATTAACGTTTTGAAAACACCACTTTACTCACTGTGCACACACACGTCTGACAACCATCCGGGGAACTGAATGTTTGCCCGTGATCTAAGGTGGCTCCATCCAGTTCACAGCCTAAGAAAAGGGAGTGGAAATTCAATCACAGGCTGTAGCCACACGAGACATCAATACTCAACCACCACCGCCGCAAAAAAAAACTGGCTTGCAACGACAGGCAAGTGCTTCCGTATTCACTGGGGAGGAACATACACGTCAAGGAGAGCAGAAAGCCCCACATTCCCAAAACACTTCCGGGACGGCCAGGAAAGTCAAGTGGCAGGGATCAGATGGCACCGGGATGAAAATACCGTGGAGAGGATGGGAAATTGAGGAGGTTGGCAGGAGGGGAGACTGGAAAGGGTTGGGGGGGAGCAAGTCTGTAGGAGAGGGTTGTAAGACATTCCACAGTCTGAGGTTCAGGGAGAAAATGAGATTGAATAAACAAAAGGGAAAGAATCTACATTTTAACACAGGAGGGTGGTGGAACTGGGGGTTTGGGGTTTGAGGTTTGAGATTGGGGCATGATTGGAGTTTGGCTGGGTAGTGGGTGGAGGCGTTGGGCGGTTAAGAATTTGGAGTTTATGAGAGTTAGGATTGGAGTTGTCAGGGTGGGGGGAATATTATGGAGCTGAGGTTGCAATACACTGAAATGTGTATAATAGCAGTCCCTATTTTCACATGGTAATGGCCTCCTTCCTGTCACTGTTTCGATCGGTCAGTGTATATTTTCACTGCTGTTATTTTCCTGTTTGGGTCATCACGTCAGTGTGCTTGTGCTCAGATAGTTGCTGCTGAGTTTGTTATGGTACATGGTCAGGCAACAGGATCTGTTCCTCAAAGCAGGCTTAGTCTCAGCTGTTTTCAATGACCCTCTCACCTGGGCATCTAGGGCAGCATTGCCCAGGTATCTCGACTGGGTGTGAACAAAACAGAGGCTGGCACTGTAGGGGGACACATCTCACCAGGCTTCGCTGTAACAAGAGGAATGGAAAACTTGTAAAAAAGTTATGATCATTCAAAAGTACCAGTGATTAGAAACAATTCGTGAATTCACAGAAAATATCTCAAGTTAACCAGATCATGCCACAAGGGTGAATGAGCAAAATCCCTGGGTCCAAGATTCAAAACAACCAAGGGTCAAACATCATAAACAATTGTGGCTTCAATGACTGAAGATGAAGTAACTAGAAGTCAAGCTGCCTGTGGTCTTTAGGTGCATGATCAATAAGTTATGCCACAGTTCCCAAAGAGACTGTTAACTTTAAACGACATTTGAACTCCTAGTAAGCAACTTAAAGATATTACACAAGATTTCTAGTTTTAAGACTTTTACTGTAACAAGCCAACTAAAATCATCACAGCCTAAACACTTAGTAAATAAAGAACGCACTAAAATACAGAAACAATTTCCCCTCTTAACTTTTTAACACAATCGAAAACCACGTGCCACAGGTATGTTTTACACCAACTCTCTGCGTTACTAAAATTTTTACAAGATCCAGTTCAATCTCACTTCCAAAGTGTTTGCTCCTCTCTGTTCCACCGAGCTGTATCGTTGAGAGACCATGTCCCAATTTTTTGGAGAAATCCAAGATGGAATATCAGTTGTAAGGCACCCTCCGGCAACTCATCCATCGCTCTCTAACTGGCTGTGTAAGGTCAAATTTTCTGGATACCTTAAATTGTAAAGGAAATGTGGTTCTTGGACTGGAGACCGTCTTTCCTCCCACATACCTGCAGCTCACAGAGAACTCCCAACCTTAATCACTCTGTAGACCACAGGGCTACAGCCTCCTCTGTCCATCTGACATTCCCTCTCTCTTTACTGCCCTAAACTAGAGACTGGAAATCTATTCACAGCCAGCACGTGCTGCTTTTGCCTTTGTCTTTTGTTGGGAACTTTTTATACTTTGCTTCCCATAAGTCTCAACCTGTTCCCATAGGAACAAAAGCACTGAGGCCTGGTATTAGAAATAGATCACATGACTATCTTCACTACCCTGTTTTACCCAGAATTAAGCAGACAGTCCCAAGATATAATCATTTAATAAAACAATAAATTCTTAACAGTGCACAAACATATCTTCCAATCTATAGCAACAGCAGGACTTACCACACATGAACAGTTCATACAGGGGTTAACTGTGGATGAGAAAATGTCTCCATTCATATATTGCTTCCCTTCATATTCACAGCCTGAAACAAACAAAGAACAAAGTCAGTCTTATACAGCCCAGCTAGGGTATAGATTCTGTCTTTGGGATGTTTGGTGAGGCAATGCAGATGGAGATTTAACTTTCTCAGTTACCTTTCAATAAATAATCAAAATATTTAAAGATAAAGCACATCAGAGTCCTGCTCTTTAGTGACTCACTGACTGGGTCTGTCACATAAGCGGTTATTAAGCCCCTTAGACTGTGGCTAGATCCCAGTTTGAGCTGATTAAGCAGGGCATCACTGAGACAATATTAAGGGACCCTCTGTGCTGCAGTGATAGTGTCACTATCTCTGAGACAGGAAAGCTCCAGGTGTTTGTAATAACATCCCTGAACAGGTTGATTAGAAAACAAAAAAAAACAATGAGACAATGTTCACTTCAGCAGCTAGGACTAGACAGCAGAAGAACCAGCCATAGATGCTGCTCTAGATCAATCACAATGTAAACATGAGGTTCAGACTGGATCAGGCTGAGTGAGGAGACTTCCCCTTGTCACCATGTACTGTCCTGGCTAGAAACCGATTGCAAGCCCAAGGGGAGAACATACAGGGTCCAGTCTCTCCAGCAGTGAATCCTAGCCCGGGTCAGAAACACAACATTTTACAAAAGTAACACAGTCACCTGTAAAACGTGCTGCTCAGTGCAGCAATGGTCCACAAAAGTTGTGAAATACAGGGCTGGACAGCATTCTGGAACATACCGCGGAAAGGAACAAACAGGTCACACATAACAAACAAAAAAACCCCAGAGTGAACAGTGGAATGCAGCTCAATGCTGGACCTTCATATGACAGGGCAGGAGTAAAGGCGGGCATGGAGTTACTGGGGGGGAGTGACAGTGGTTTGGAGTTACCTGGGCGGGAGTGACGGCAGTGCGGAGTTACCTGGGCGGGAGTGACGGCGGTGCGGAGTTACCTGG